GTGACGCAGCCCAGGCATCGGTAACAGCCCACATTCGTTTGTTGTTGTTCCTTCATATAACAATGTGTGGGGTCAGTTTTAACTAAGATCACGGAGATTTTTGCCCCGCCGATAGCTCATCATGGGTGGTTGTCAAAATTCTGCTGGCAATGTCAGATCGTTAGCTAGAATGCGCCAATAAGAGTCCACTGTTACTTTCAGTTTGGATGACATCGTGGTGAAGGTGCTTGGATATACCAATCTAGAGGTATTGGAGCTGTCTCTGACGGTGTTCGCCTGGCATTAATCCCATGCTTGCTGTAGTATCTGATTGCTGTAGCCTCTTTCCTTGAACTTATTCCACATTTGAATGATTTGTTGTTGTGCTGTCTGGGGTTCCGAGTTATTTCTAAGTACCCTTAGGAATTGTGAGTATGGTAAGGAGGCTTTAGATGTTTCGGATGGAAGCTAGCCGAGTGCAGTAATGTATTTCTGTCAGTGGGCTTTGTGTACAGACTATAAGCCAATTGGTTGTTTCGTCTGTATATGTGGACATCAAGGAAATCAACGCCATCTGTACTTGCTGTTAGTGTTAATTTCACCGGTGTGTTCATGTCATTGATCTCCTGGACCATCATCGACATTGCTTGTGGGTCATCTCTCCACACAAAAAACAGGTCATCAATGAAACATCTGTAGAAGATGATATTGTTGGAATATGGTTGTAAGATATTGTCCTTCTCAAAGCTGTTGGCATAATTGGGCGCACCCATCAAAGTACCCGAGCTTTGTTGACACCAAAAATGGTTTTCATATATATAATGTATATTGTACTCTAGACACATGGCCCATTTTGAAAAACATTTATAGAAAGCACAGAAAGCAGAGATGCCAAGTATTTCTGTTGCTATCCCCCCGACACACACACACACAAAAGAGCACATTCTCAACCAACTTACTGATACAAACTCTATTCATATACCTGCTCTAACCTTAGCCCTAACCTTACACTATCCCTAACCCTAAACCTGTATTAATCCTAACCCAGCATGAACCCTAATTGTACCCTAACACAAACCCTAACGTTACTCTAACACTAAGCTTACCTCAACCCTAACATCTAACCCTATTATAACTTTGCCCTAGTTCGAACCCTAACCCTACCTCTAACCCTGTCAAGATTTGCATTCTACCCCAATTTTGTCAGTTTATGTGTACCTCTGTGTTTTTGCCAGACCATGTAATACTAAGTTATAGTTGAGTTCCATAAATGAACTATTCCTCATGGCCAAAGCCAAACTTATATTTCACTACACTGCTATCTTTAATCCTGAACTTGGACTGTTGATTTTGACCAAGGTGTTGCTGAATCACTCAAGATTTATCTGTAGTGCATCTTGAAAGTTGGCCTCCATGTAAACACTGAAGTCACTTGTTCTATAAAGCAAGTTAAACTCCTGAAAACTACTGCTGTAAAGTACTCCATTCTAAATTAATTATATTCTTCTGCCACAGTCTACCCCATCATGCTTCCCTCATAATTCTTGCTTGCGGTATTCAAGACATAAAACTGTCTTAAAGAGACAGTACCTAATTAAACCATATTCTTAAAGACAGTATTTATTTGAATTTAGCTTGCAGTAGTTTTCCAATGAAAATCAAATTATAGCAAACCCTACCTAAACCCTAAGGAAAACCAATGCTGATATCAGTACTGATATCAACAAATGGGGTTCATAGTTACAACAGTAGAGAGTGGTATGTTGACACCATCTACTGGCTATTTTCAGCATTACAGGCATTTACCTGTAATGTTGAAATTCCAGAATGCCGATTAGACAGCAATTGCTGCATGGCTGCTGGCAAAACCGAGCACTAATTACAATTGGCACATATCCATGCTGGGAGACTCTGTCAGTCTGTCCAGATCCTAAGGTTCTCCCATGAGCATCTGCCTGCCCAACGACACGACTGCAGCCATAATCTGCTCAGCTGCAATATTTAAAGGGCTCTATGCAGCGCTCAGTTTGCTGGCCTTAGCTGACAGAAGGGCACCCCTGGTGTAAGCCAGGATTTAACTCTAATCACACAGCATTAAAATTCCAATTTAAAGACCTGTATACAGTGTTCAATTTGAGTGCTGCAGACAGAGCATCTGAAAGTCTGGGACCACTAAAAATGTCCACAGCTGACAGAGGGGTGCTCTAGGTATCGATTGGTACCTGGGAATTCCTGGTGTGTGCAGGAATTTAATGTGTCGATATATCCTAATGACATTAACACCCAGTATAATTAGGTTAACTATAAGTGCTTAACTATGTATAGTGTACATGTATATTTGCTGTGTTATCTGTTTCACTACATTATATTAGTTTCATGGTGCTTATTTGTACTTTATTTGCTTTAATTGATCATCCAATATTTGTTTGGTTATGTTGGCTCCATACATCATCTATGCAGGGGAGGTGTTTATGGTGTTTATTTTGCTCATACACAAACTCTGAAAATGTTTAGGTAATTGATGCATTGCTTGTAATGTGTTTTTATTGGCTTATATAGTTCTTTTTATTGTTTAATTCAATAACTGTCCAATTCTTTTCAAATAATAGACTATTATCGACCCATTTGTGTTTATTTTAAAGTCATGTTTAAACCACTCTAAAATACTTCATAGAAGAAAGATCCATACTGGGAAATGTTGACAACCAAAAAGATGATAACACAAGTAGAGTGCAAAATCACAGTCCACACAACAACAAGAAAGAAACTAAAATACAGAAAACTGAAACAACATCACTGCTCTCAACTGCATAATGATGGTAGGAAACCTATTTAATGTTAAATGTAAAAACTATACAAAAAAAGCATTATACACAATAATTCTATGTGCAGATGCAAACCGAAATGAAATCAAGGAAAGATCATTCAATATGCCTCTGTAATAATTGCTCCAAAATTAGCATTTTGACCAAGGTGTTTATTCTTTTTTGTCTTCATAAATACGATACCTTCATCAACCTTATTTAGACCCAAGGGTTTTAAGTATAATAAAGTGCAAAGAAATGCACTGTGTACTACTTTTAAACTTCAGTCATACTAACCAGTAAAACTCAAGGAACTTATAACAGTGGTAATGATCATGACATGAAAGAACTTCTCCTTCCGATTCTTATAATATGACCTAATCCATTAGCCCTTTAGTCAATCACCTCTTCAAATCCACTTTCATCACGAAATACTTCCCCTCTTCACTGTCATTAATGCCACTTTTCTTTTAATAAAATCCAGTTTATAATTAGCTAGATTTATTTTCAATTCAGTTCCTGGCATGGTTCTAAAAAGTCCATCAAGTTCAATGTTTTGAAATTCCTTTTCCTATTATAAGGAGAATAGAAATGCAGACAATTGCAAAAGCCCATAGTGACTTCAAATTGTACTTGCCCATAACTTGGCAGTGTCTACAGTTATTGAAAAGTTTAATCATCTACTGCTTTTACATGACTACAATATAGTAATCCCTATCCACAGTCACCTCTCAACTACTTTGTGGCTTAGTAAAATAAAGTATGCTGGTGACTCTTGAGTGAAGAAGCTCTTCAGGGGTTATGGAAACTGAAGAACCAATCCACCAAAGGAGGCATTTAGCTTATCATGTTTTCGAGGTAGGAGACATTTCATATAACTCCTGCTTCAGGGTCTTTAAGATAACCCAAAGTAGAAAATATAATCTCATCTAAGTTACAAATGTATGTTTTGATGATTTCATATTTTTGAACCAATCTGATTCGTAAATCTATTGGATAGCCCACAGTGCGTTGTTCTTGGACGGTAAGAAAGTAACACCAATCAGAAGATTTCCAGGATTTTCACAATGCTCTGTGGTCAGCTTGCAGAAAGTAAAACATCATCTAGTATAGAGAAGTGTAACTTTAAACATATTTCAACACTTGGCTTAACTTTTAATTCTAATTACATAATAACCACACTGTTTGTGAAATCCTTTGGTAGTTACTCTGTAGAAATGCTGTAAAAACATTTTTTGCTTATTATATCATACGATATTTCATCATCATAAAAAGTAAGCATTATAAATCCAACATTGTAATTTTCATTTAAAATAAACACTTGTGGGTATAGTCCCTAGAATAATGATGTCATGATCACTCTATATCCAGGCTACTTAATTTGGACGTGAGCTATTAGTCACTTTCTTCTAATTACAGGTGTCTTAAATCATGGTAGGTGTTTTGGCTGGCAAAGTCCAAAGGAATTGTGCTGCAATCCATAGCTATGTGTATGGTTTAATAAATCAATATCAGAGGTATTCAAATACCACACCAGTGGCTACCAAATCGTTAACAGCCAAAAACACAACTAATGGCATTCAAAACCCAAAGAAATTGCAGTCAGATCAGGTATTTAACAACATCTTCCTGACATTGACAACAAGATATAGTTGACCAATAATTTGGGTCTAACTGCACACCCATTGGATGAATCTGTCAGTAAACACTGGTATCAGTGCCTTCCATTTCAAACAATTTTCATTTGTGTGGAGAATCATTGCCCATATTTTCAGGACTAGTTAAGCTTGATTTCTTCTGAAAATCATTTATCCTTCCCTCAGAATATGACAACGAGAAGGTGGCAGAAGTGTCTCAGACTAGTGAATTTCCATATATACAATGTAAAAATTAGATTCAAACACAAGAAGTGCAGCTGCATAGAACATTAAGAAAGAGGGGATTTCATCAATGGATCAAATGATAATGTGGTCCATTAGCAGATATATAAAGACTGGCAGAGCAGAATAGGGGAACTGGTCTACAGCATTTGGAAAGGCATAGGTTAATTGCATTTTAACTATATAAAGACTGCCTTTTAGAAGAAACCTCAGGTGTGTCTGGATATTTAGGTTTTCTTTCACATTGTTTTGAATGGCTGAAGTTACAGCACTTTAACATACTGTAGGTATACTTCTGTGTTCAGCCATAGACCACTGAGATAATTAATTTTTTCACCTGGTTTGCTCCAGTTGGGGTTACATGCCCTCTCCAGCCGGTGGCATCATAGCATCAATGATTCAGCAGCAGAGAGGAAAGCATGCAGCGATCACAGTTTGCAGAGCGCTCTGTACTGTCACACTAGGAATATTCCTTTTCTGATGTTCACTTTTAAATCAGCTGGGAGGTCCAACTGATTAAACATGGTTAAGGGGATTTAGTGTTATGGTATTTAGGGTTATGGGTGACTCAAAGTTGAAGGGGCAATATCACATCTTAGTATTTCATGAAGATTTATTATTTCTGAAACACTAATGCTGACTGCACTGTTAATTAATTGAAATTCTAATGCAATCCAATAATTCATAAGACAAAATAGAGACTACTCTTTCTTATGGGCAAGCCTGAGGTTGACAAAAGCTGACAAAAGGCAGAGCTCCACCATCAACTTTTGATCAGTTCTAGCAGCTGTCACAAATGAAGGTGGTGGGAATCAAGCATCGTCTCTCTCATATTGCGAGAGATGATCTATCGTGGCTCTCATGATTCTTCAGTGACCTCATTATTGAACTCTTTTGCAAGAGTAAAGCACTGACACAGCTCCTGGCAGATGAAGCATGAGGACATGAAAAGAATCCCCAGGACGAAGATAGAGTTGGCTGCAAGGGACTGGCTCAAGTATGTTAACCTACTTTTGTCTGCACGCCACAGTCACTTGATCCTAACCGGAGATGTCACTTTTGGGGGGGTTTTGCAAAATATATAAAGAGCCCAAGAGTTACAGGGGTGCTTTAGGGAAGGTTTAGGGTTATAATATTTTGGTCTAGGTGACAAAGCTATGGGTTTTAAGGAGGGTGGATACAAGATTATGGGTAGTTTGGGGGTTGACTTAGCATCAGGAAATATCTACCTTTGTGATACATATACTGTCCTATGACAGTAATGTGAAATAATATAAGGTGTATGCATTTGCAAATTTGCATTTATGAAGATGAATTTGTACCTTTCTACGATGCACACAAATGTAACACAGAGAATTAGTATTGTTTGGAAGAAAAAAAAAATGGGCAGGTGTCCAAATTGTCCCAATCATTTTATAAACATGATGTGTACATGTGGATATTGCTGTGCTCAGTAGAAGTGGTATGCACAATTTGAATTTATGAGATGGTAAAATGACCCAAAATGAGACAAAGGCAGCAGTAGACAAACTATTGCCAGTGCAGTTGGTACGGCTGTACCAGGGCTCATCAGGTGGCTTATGAACTTAGGGGCAACCAATAGGCATGTGTCATCAGGGGCCCGGTCATGTGCTGCAGCCCTTTAACAGTGCAACCAGGACCCTTTCATATCAGCAGTGCTGCGAAGAAGTGAGAGTCTGTTATTTCTTTCCAGTTACATACACTGAACAGCACGGAAGAAGATAGAAGGGGAATGCGAACTGTGAGAGGCAGCCTCTGACTCCCAACAATCTGAACCTGCAGGACCTCAAGGAAGCCACCTTCCAGTCCTAAAAAGTCAGGAAACAAGAGGGAGGACAAAATGTGTAAAGTTAGACCAGCATGTGTGTAGCGGAGCTTGGTACTCACCCTGAGTATCTCTGCTATTTTCCCTCCTTCTAGACAGAGGATATGGTATTGTAAATATAGTCCTTTCCCTATACACTAGCCAAAACGAAGTGTGGGTAAAACAAATACTGCTTTATTGACAATATATATATATATGCATATATATATATATATTTGAATGCACATTGAATCTGAAGGGGGTGATTAACAGAACAAATCCCCTCCCCTGTGCCATCAAGTCTGGGCTGATCACAGTTAATTTGTTCAACTTAGACTAATAAGGTTATCCTCTAATTAATTAAGTTATGTATAGTTATTTCATTCCAGGCAAGGGCACCAGAGATTCCGAACTCCAAATGTTCCCCTTTCCAAGGTGTAACCCTCACACATTGTATAGCCCCGGAGAGCCCACACTCTTAGCTATGCACAGTTTAATGGTACCCGGAGGCGCCTAGCTCAAGTAATAATTCTTTAAAGTTTGATTGAGTCATGGCCATTTTCCGATAAGGCTTTGAGTTCCACATGTGCAGCTTAAAAGTCCAAGTCTAGCAAGGATGGTTTCTGGAGCCTGTGCGGAGAGTTCAGGCTCATAAAGTATGGGGAGGAGGCTGGCCTCCAAGCCCCTTCATGAGCCCCAGGAACAGAGGCATCAATTACAATGTGTTCCTTAATCTGTATTATGTATACATTTTTGTCACTACAGCAGCTACTGTTCCTTAATCTGTATTATGTCTAAAGTTTGAGCACTAAAGCAGCGCCATTCCTGCAAAATGCATATTCTGGGTGTGCCCCCAATTATTTTTTGCCTCCCTTACAATGTGTGTCTGTATGTGTGTCAGTGTGTGTATCTGTGTATTTGCATGTGTATCTGTGTATTTTTATGTGTGTCAGTGTTTGCATCTATGTGTCTGTGTATCTGTTTGTGTGTATGCCTGTCAGTTTTTGTGTACCTGTGTATTTGTATGTGTGTCAGTGTTTGCATTTATGCGTCTGTGTATCTGTATGTGTGTCAGTGTTTGTTTCTGTAAGTTTGTGTATCTGCACGTATCTGCATGTGTGTACCTGTGTGTCTATGTATGTGTGTCAGTGTATCTATATGTGTGTTAGTGTTTTGTATTTGTGTATCTGTGTATGTGTGTCAGTGTTTGTATCTGTGTCTGTCTATTTGCACGTGTGCCAAAGTTTACATCTGTGTGTCTGTGTATCTGTATGTGTGTCTGTGTATCTACATGTGTGTCAGTGTGTGTCTTTGTATGTCTATATATTTGGATGTTTGTCTGTATGTTTGTGTATCTGCATGTATATGAGTGTCAGTGTGTGTATATCTATGTATCTACATGCATGTAAGTATGTTAGTGTCAGTGTGTATCTGTATGCCTTGTATATCAGCATGTGTATCCGTGTGTCTTATGTATCTACAAGTGTGTCTGTGTATCTATATGTGTGTCAGTGTGTGTGTATATGTATGTCTGCGTATCTGCATGTGTTTTAGTTTGTATGCTTATATGTGTGTCACTGTGTGTATCTGGGTATCTACTTGCACGTCAGTGTGTGTATCTGTGTGTCGTGTTTATTTGCATGTATGTATCTGTTTATCTGAATGTGTGTCAGTGTGTGTACCTGTGGGCATGTATGTGGGTCAATGTGTATCTGTGTGTATCAGCAAGTGTATCAGTGATTGTATCTGTGTGTTTTGTGTATCAGCATGTGTGTGTATGTGTATCTCTGTGTGTGGCAGTGTGTGTGTCTATGTGCATACACCAACAAACAGCAACACTACACACAAATAACACTACACATACTCCAAACAGAAACATTCAAACACACAACCACTGATCAGTGCTTGATACAACCCAGTTAGGATGGGCAAATGGTAGATCCATAGCTGGTAAAGCATTGTGAGAGTTGTATGACAGATGGGGATCTACATTTTGGCCACCCTTACGATAAGGGAATCCAAATAATCTCTTGCACCAGGGCCCCTGTCTATTTTAGTTCTACCATTGACAGGTACAGCAAGTCAATCTGTAAATATTCCAAATTACAAAATGTCATACTCAGGAGAAATTGTTTTTATTTTAACTGCAGTAGCAGTACATTAGATTTACAAAATACAAAGAATATTTTCATATTGTGAAAACCACAAAATATGTATTTCTACAAATTTTAGCATTGATTCATTGCAAAATGTCTAAATGAAAAGTACAAAAAGACCCTAGATAAATAACATACAAATATTTTTTACTTTTGCAATTTTTTTATTTTTTTTTAAACTTTGAGGCCAAAAAAAACATTAACAGTATTAAGTTTAAACAGTATTATGTTCCTTGTAGTCAGTTTCCTAGTGATCCTAGAGCAGTAATACACTCTGTATGTTTGTATGTATACCGGTGTGTGTATATATATATATATATATATATATATATATATATATATATATTACTTTTAGCTGTTTTCCCATTTCTTTTCTCTCTCATTAGGACTGTTGAATTATTTATTGCAAAAGTCCATTATTTTCTTAGTAAATTGGAGACTCCCCTTAATGAAGAAAATATTCTTAAACTCCACCGTTATGTTTAATCCCTCGAGTAAGTTCTCTAGAAAGATTTACAGTTGGTTTTTAGTTAAACAGGTGAGCAAGAGCTTAAGCGCAAATACCCAGATATAAAAATAGGTAAGAGAAGGTATTTCCCACACACAAATTGTAGTAATGTGTTCTTTTTGTTTTATTTGAATCTGGCCATAAAGAGCTAACAAGAATTTTACTAGTGCTAAAAAATGGAACACTTAGCGCAAGGAAAGTCAAAACAGCACATGTTCTTTATAATATCCCCAGTCTGAGATTTTCCTAAAAAAATGTAAGCAGTAAAACAAAAAAAAGTACAGCGTAAACGTGAGTCCCATTATATACACCTGCTAAAGCCTAACACCTCTACGTCTGTGTTTGCAAAAGACATTAAAATTGAAGCCAAGTATTTTAATTTATTGTATTTGAAAACCGAAGGTTAGAGCGCTTACTTAAATGTACCATGTTGAGTAAAGATGTTTATATTGTAGTCCGCAATTACTGGGTGCCATTAAAAACATATCACTTTTATGGAATAGAAAATTGTTTTAGTCCTTTCCTTGGCAATGTATATTCAGCTATAGCCAAGGTTGGTTTTAGGAAAGATGGGTGAGTTATAATGAAACAGGTGCCCCATCTAAAGGGAGAAAATACTCACTGTTGTTCACTAAACTTGTGCACAGCAAGATTGTTCTTCTGAAGACAATTTTCCAAATTGGAAATTTTGCTCAAGATGTCCAAAACTCACTTGAAATTTGGTTATGGAAACATATTCGGCCGAAGCGAACACCACAGCAGAGCAAGGGCTAACCATGTGGTTTGCAGGCCAATAAATTTAATAAAAATGTAAAAAGCCTGTGGGGTCAATATGGCCATGTCATGAATGGAGGCATGTTTCCTAAATAGAGATGTCGCGAACCGTCCGCGAACTTCAACATGGATGCTGTCCAGGAAGTAGGAGGGTCTAGGAGGGAGGGTCTGCTGGAGATTGGCCGGGATGTGTCAGCTGACCGGAGTTCGCCACGAACGGTTCGTGGCGAACCGTGGTGAACCATTCGCGAGAAGTTCGCGGACGGTTCGCGACATCTCTATTCCTAAATAGC